CACACCTACTTTTTACTCATTTCAGTAATCACTAATATAAATATATTCACTAAAATCAGTATGCTATTGGTATACCCTGAATTAGAGTAAAACCACTGTGGAAGATGATAAGTGCTTCCCCACTCCAGAACCACTGATTTCAGGAGGGGTGTTGAAAGATCTGAGTAAGATTGAGGTGATGAGAGAGGCGGTCCTACAACTGATAGACAACTTAAAAACTGATAAATCACCAGGCCCGGATGGCATACATCCGAGAGTTCTGAAAGAACTCAAATGTGAACTTGTGGATCTCCTGACAAAAATATGTAATCTTTCATTAAAATCTGCCTCCTTTCCTGAGGACTGGAAGTTAGCTAATTGTCATGCCTGCCCCTGCTGATGTCATGCCTGCCTTTGCTGATGCCCCTGAACAGGCTCTTGAGGACCCTGAACAGGCTCCTGAGGACAGTACTGCAGCTGAAAGGCAAAGACTGGATCCTGTAGCTGAAAGCTATGTAAGTGGTGAGGAGGATAGAGCCTCCCAGGGAACTCCTGCAAGGGATCAGTCTCTGCTGCAGCCCAGTAATTCATCATCAGACTCGCCTCCACCTGTAACCAGGCTCAGGAATGTAAGAAGACAACAGCTGAGAGAGCGAAGGCAGAATGCACGCATGCGTGCCAGAAGATCTCTTAGCCCTCATTACTGACAGGATCCTGTCCTCACTCCTGGCTAGCTAATGAGTTGATTAGCTAGCACTGTATATATGCAAGTCTGTTGCCAGCAGTCATTTGTGCTGGCAACGTCGTTTGTTCAGGACCTGAATCCTTGCATCTCTGCTCCAGACCTTGTGGAATTCTTCTCGGCTTGATCCTCGGCTTTTGACCTTTGGCTTTGTTGACCCTGCGTTCATCTCTGACTCCTCTGGTATTGTTGTGATTTATGGACTTGAAACTTTGGTATGTCTGACCCTGCTTTTGGACTGTGATTTAAACCTGCTTGAACCTTGCTACCTGATTTGCCCGGCTTGACCTCGGACTGTTCCTGGACTTTTGCTTGCTTGTGTCACGCCCCCTGGTCCTGCCGTGACAGATTGCCAGCACCCACAACGCTCACACATCCCCACCATGGAAGACGGAGCAACCGGAGGTGTGGACCCCATGGAGGAAATGCTAGCACAGGTACAGCACTTAACTCAAGCTGTGATTGCTTTGCAACAACAGGCTGCTACAAATGCTGTTGCTGTAGCAAATGCTGGTACACCTCCCCCACGTTGCCCAATAAATCCTCCTGATCGTTTCGGTGGGAATGTTGATGAGTTCCAGGCATTCCTTGCCCAATGTAATCTGTATATTGAGCTCAGGGCTCGGGACTTTGTTTCTGAGAAGGCTAAAGTTTGTTTCATTTTAAGCCTCCTTAAAGGGCAAGCTGCCAAATGGGCCACGCCCTTGCTGGTGGGGAATTCTCCCTTACTATCTGACTTCCAGGCTTTCAAGGCTCATTTTGCCGCTGCTTATGCCAATCCTGTGAAAGCTGAAACAGCTAACCGCAAAATAAGGGCTCTTACTCAGCATAAAACCTCTGTCGCTCAGTACACCAATGAGTTCCAGCTGCTGGCTCAAGACCTGACATGGAATGAGGCAGCGTTTATTGACCAGTATACTGAAGGGCTGTCTGACGAAATTCTAGATGAACTTGCACGCAGTGAACGCCCTGACACTTTACAAGCCCTCATCCATCTCTGTCTCCGCATTGATGGGAGGTTACAGAGCCGCCGCCAAAACAGAAAAAAGGCTCTCGCCTTCCCCAGCAGAACCCTTCAGACCTTCCACCGGCCTTCCTCCCCCGGCTCCTCTCCACCTCCTGCAGGCACAGAGCCCATGCAACTTGGCACCGCTCGGCCCCGCCTTACTTCTGAGGAGAAGCTGAGACGGCGCACTCAACAGCTGTGTCTGTATTGTGGAGAAGCCGGGCATTTTGCCTCCAGCTGCCCTGCCAAGCAGAAGCGCTCACCACAACCGGCTCCACCGGTAAAAGAGCAGCCCCAAGCCTGACCGGACCCCCCGGTTTGGGGCCTATTCTGGGGTCCTCCAGTACTCCATACTCACCACAGACTCCCTTCCTGGTGCCAGTGCGGTTGCAACTCCCAGACAACCGCTGGCTCTTCATCCACGCCATGTTGGACTCAGGGGCCGCCTGTTGTTTCATGGACATTCTTTTTGCCAAAGAACACGGCGTTCCCCTTCAAGAGAAGGCAACCCCAGCGCTTGTAGAAGCCATTGATGGACGCCTGCTCCGCTCCGGACCCGTCGTCCAAGAAACCCAGCCACTCACCTTGTGGATACAGCAGCACCAGGAACAAATAACTTTCGACTTGGTGAGGATGCCGAGGTTTCCAGTCATCCTGGGTCTCTCCTGGCTGCGCCACAACAACCCTCAGGTAGACTGGGTACATCAGGAGCTCCAGTTCGGCACCAGTCCTGCACCCACGCCTTCCGTGGAAACGATGGTAGACACCCCGTCTTCAGCACCATCGCCAGAACCATCACCAGCTGCTTTGCTGCTGGGCGCTGCGGCTCCCGCTTTACCTGCCACCTATCAGGACTATGCAGACGTCTTTGACGAAAAGGAGGCAGACCAGCTACCCCCGCATCGGCCCTACGACTGTGCCATCAACCTCATCCCCGACGCTCCGTTACCCTCAGGCCGCCTTTACCCAATGGCAGAACCGGAGCTGGCTGCGCTGAGGGACTATTTGGACAAAAATCTGGCCAGAGGGTTTATTCGGCCCTCTACGTCTCCTCTGTCTTCCCCAGTCCTCTTTGTGAAAAAGAAGACAGGAGACCTCAGGCTCTGCAATGACTACAGGGCCCTGAACAAAATCACCATACGGGATAGGTACCCCCTCCCGTTGATCCCTGAGCTCATGGACCGTTTGCGGGGAGCTCAAATCTACACAAAGCTAGACCTGCGTGGCGCCTACAACCTGGTGAGAATCAAGGCAGGAGATGAATGGAAGACCGCCTTTGGTACCCGCTATGGCCAATATGAGCACTTGGTCATGCCCTTTGGCTTGACCAACGCCCCTGCAGTGTTCCAACGCTTTATGAATGACATCTTCCGTGACCTCCTCGACCGCTTCGTGGTAATTTATTTAGATGACATCCTGATCTTTTCCGCCACCGTGCCTCAACACATTGACCACGTAAGGCAAGTGTTGCACCGCCTGCGCACCCATGGACTCTATGCGAAACTAGAAAAATGCGAGTTTCATCGTAAGTCTGTTGAGTTCCTGGGGCATATTATCTCCCCTGAAGGCACGCTGATGGACCCCAAGAAGGTGGAAGCCATTCTCCAATGGCAGCCTCCCAAAAACCGGAAGGATGTTCAACGCCTCCTGGGGTTCTCCAACTACTACCGCCAATTTATAC